TTCCCATTGGCGCCCAGGGAGCTGCCCCTTCAGGCTGGTGGCTCTCAGCGCTGTGCCAGATCCCATAGCCAAAGTAAATAAGGAAACCTGGGAATGGGCAGAACAGGGTGGGGAGTTTCTCTCTCTTCCCTCCCCTCCCAACCACAGTGTAATCACCCCTTCCCTTTGGGCCCTGTATCAGAAGACAGAGTGTTCCCACCACCCTTTGACAATGAAGTTCAGCATCTCCTCCATCCGCCCTCTACTGCTCTGCAGGCAGCATTAGTGCCATGGGCTCTCCAACTGCCAAGGCCTCACTCAAAGAGGTTGCCACCAGCTCTGGGATGTGGAGGGCATCCAGGCTTACCAACGGCCATCCAGATCAGGTACCGCAGCCAGGCACCCGCACTGAGCCGGGCCATCAGGATGCTGTTGATGGTGATGCTGAGGAGCGGCAGGAAGGGCAGGCAGGGAACCTGCAGGGACCAAGCACAAGGGAATGGGGTCATGGCCTTTGCCCAGATGGACCGGGCAGATGTTTCACAATCAAATTCAGCTCTTTGCTGCTTTGGGTAGTTGCCAAGAGGGGAGGGGAAGGCCAGTCTGGCTGCGAGGCTCAGAGACCTGAGCTGGGACAACAGACTGTGCTGGAGGGGGATGCTCATGGCGGGTGGTTTGGTTGATGGGTCCTGGGACAGGAGATACTGCAGGATTTGAAGGGGGAGGCTGTAAACCACTAGCAAAAACAACCCAGGGTGTCAAGACCGCTGAGGAACAGCTCTGATTTGTGCAACAGGCAGTGGGCTCAGTTGAGGCTGCAGGAGGTGCCCCTTTGGCATGTGAAACATGCGGGGGAAGAAGCAGGCATGGTCCCTGTGGAAAAACTCAAGACCAATACAGCACATTGTGGATACAGTGAGGGTCTGCCTGACCTAAAGCAGAGAGAACACACACAACCTCCCAATGCAATGTGACCCTTCCCCCAGGGGGCTGTGGCACTTGCCTGCTCTCCACCCCCCAGGCACAGTCCCCGAGGCTGGGCTGTGTGCTCACCATGAAGGATGCTCTCTCCTGGCGCTGAGGCTGCCTCCAGATGAGCAGAGCTGCCGCCAGGATCCCCAGGAGGGGCAGAGCCAGGGCAGTGATGCACCAGGCACCCCCGGCACGGAGGCACGGCAGCCCCGCGGTGCTCACCCAGCTCACAGCACACACCAGGGTGGCTGCGGAGAGACCACGGCAGCGTGTGAGGACAACGCTTCCCCCCACGCTGATCCCATCCCTCACCCAGGCTGCCATGGTGGGAGGGACAAAGGACAACCAGGGGACAGGGCTGGGTAGTTTGCCATGGTGGGTTTAGCTTTTATCTCCAGGAAGCAGGAGGTTTCCAAAGGTCCCATTGAGGCAGCAGCCACGCTGCAGTCAGGAGAGGGCAGGAGGGAGCCAGGCAGATCCTGCTGCTGGTTGTTTACAGCAAGCAGGAACCTGGCAGCCTGTGCTACAGCAGAGATGTGTCCTGTGGTTATCCCATGCTGGCTCCCCATATGCCCCATCCATCACTCCTGGGCTTACCTACAGCTGTGAGAGCCCAGGCCACTGCAGAGGAAGAACGTGGGGTGGGATGTGAGGGTGGATGGACAAGGTGGTCCCACCAGAGCTGCACAGCTGGGACCTTCCCCACAGGGGGATGCTGAGCACTGGGTGCAGGCCGATACCTGAGGAGCAGATATTGGATGCCAAGGTGCATGACCATGTGTCTGTGCCTTTTCCCAAACATAGCCAACATCAGAAGTTGGGTGAGCCCTGTCCCCAGCACTCACCTGAGTAGCAGCACACAGCCAGCCACCAGTGAGTAGGCCAGTAGTGTGCCAATGGACATCATGTCAACCAGGGCTTTCAGGTCAAAGAGGAGGGCCAGGAGAGCTGTGGGGATGAGAAACCCTTTTCAGCCTCTCAGCAGAGCTGGCTGCACCATTGCCTTGCCAGTCTCAGCTGTGCTCTCTGCCCCCAGCACCCACTGCAACAGAACTCAAGCACCTTGATGAGCTGGTGATGCTTCTGTCCCTGGTGCAGAGCATCCTGCCACCTCCTGCATGGTAGCTCAGAGAGGCTGAACCCAGGACAGCATCAAGGTCAAATATCCTCACTCACAGTGAGGAGACCTCTCTCTGGGCACAGATATTGCTCAAACTGCTACCAGCAAGCCAAGGGTGTGTGTTATCCTGCTAGAAGAGGACATCCACCAAGCCCTGTTCATGGTTAAGGGGTAACCCAGTCACTCACCTGCCACTCCTCCAGACACCAGCGTTGCCACCACCGGGCACTGGCGGCGACTCACTTTGGCCAGAGGTTTGAAGAGGAGCCCATCTCGAGCCATTGCATACAGGATCCATGGCATGGGGAACATGGAGCCCAGGAGGCTGCAGACAGGGGGAAAAAATGGGGGAGAAGAGGGCAGGAATCCAGGAGGCATCATCCTGCCTTTTGCTCCTCCTTGGGTAGAAAGGGAGCTCCTGTTCATCTGTGTGGCCCATGACCTTTCTCAAGAACACACTGACAAAACCATCACCACCCTCCCCATCAGATGAGGAACAGCATCAGGGAAGTGATACCTGCAGGTCATGGGGAGCCCTGTGCACATCAAGACACCTCAGCCTGCTCCTGCAGTCCTGGTGCTATCAAGCACCTAACCACTTCCTCCAGCCTGGGGCTAAAAGTGGCATGGCAAGGGCTTTACTGCTGATGAGGGGGGGCCAGGGTGGGAGCAACAGGATTTGTGAGGAAGGGCTGAGGGCCAAGCAGGGTAGTCAGAAAGGGCTGGGAATAGTTCCTGGATGCGTTATGCTCCAGTACAACCTTGCCCTGAGCCACAGAGCTCCCATCACGGCTCCCCTCACCTGGTTGTCAGGGCACACAGTGACCCCACAGCCACAGCGTGCTTTGCACTGCTCCAGCCAATGTACTCAAAAGCCACTGGGAGCGGGCTCATGGTGTCCAGGAGGTAGTAGGGCATCATCAGGGTGAGGGCAGCAGACACCCCAAAGTATGCCAGGAAGCAGATGAGGAGGGAGAGGATGATGCCCATGGGGATGGATCTCTGTGGGTCCCTCACTTCTTCCCCTGTGGAGCACAAGCTCAGCTGTAAAAACAGACACTCATTCAATGTGCATGGCATGTGAAGAGCCCAGCTCAGGCTGGAGAGCATACCCCGTATCTCTCCAGGAGAAAGGGATACAGAGGCCTTCTTGCAAGGACACTAGAGCTCCTGGGCTCCAGGGTTATGGGGACATGCTTTGGGATTAGTCAAGTCATGCCACATGTGCTCTTATAGATCCTCCTCTGAGCACACAGGGCAGGAGAGAGCAACAGAGCCAGGAATGTGCCCATTCCCAGCCCTACAGCAGCTCCTGCAGGGACAATCACTGCCACGGACCGCAGCCTGCAGGGAAAGGTTCCACCAGCACCTCTCCCCACCTCACTTACCTGTGGTAGCGATGCAGTCAAATCCAACAAAGGCATAGAAACAGGTAGAGGCTCCAGCCAGGGTCCCACTGAAACCATAGGGCATGAAGCCTCCCACCCCAAAAGCACTGGTCATGTTGTCAGCTGCAGACTGGTTCCTGGGAGGAGGAGGAGGAAGAGTCAGGCAGTGCAGAGGGGTCAGTGCAATGGGATTCCAGGAGGGACCAGGCTGAACAGTCCATCCAACCTGCTTGCCCCTCCAGCATCAACCCATCGGGATGTACGACTTTGGCTCTTTGATGCATTGCCAACAGGGCAGGCAGAAATGAAAGAAAAGTGGGATTTCCTGGGATAAACCATCAGGGGGATGACCCATCCATCCCCACCACCCTCTGAAGGCAGCACAGGGAGAGCAGATCCCTCATACCCGGCTGCCCGTGGCAGGTCGTCCTCCCTGAGCTTCCAATTGCGCAGGTCACCTTTGATGAAGCCACTCAGTGTGACAAAGAGCAGGACAAGCACATTGAGAGCTGTGAAAACTTTGTTCACTGCAGTGGACTCCTTCACTCCAAAGGAAAGAAGCCCTGGGGACAAAAAGCAAAACTGGTACAGCCTCCTGGATGACACCAGGCCTGGGGAGAGGGTGGAAAATAGGGGACAGTGATAGAGTCAGGAGGATCTACAGATTTCCCTTCTATTCCCCATTCTTTGCTCAGGGAAATAGCAAAGCTTCAGAGGGATCAGCACCATCCTGAAGGTGGGGTGAGGAACTCATCCTACATGAAGGATGGCACAGGGGGAATGCATCCTACCTGCCAGCAGGACCACCAGGCCAGCAGCAAAGGCATCTGGGTGCTCTGCCAGCCCCACAGAGCTCATGGCTGCATGAGCACCCAAAAACCTCCCCATCTTCTTGCCAAGGAGCTGGTCAAAGGTAGCACTCCAGGCCCGGGCGACACTCGCGGTACCTGGGAAGAGGTGGTGGCTCCATAGGGTCTGGGAATGACACCCAGCAAAGGTGGGGGGATCAGAAAGACCTCATACCAATGACATAGGACAGCAGCAGGTTCCACCCAGCAATGAATGCCCACAGCTCACCCACCGTCACGTAGCTGTAGAGATAGGCAGACCCAGCCAGGGGCACGCGGGCCCCAAATTCAGCATAGCACAGCCCTGCCAGAGAGGACACCACGGCTGCGATCAGGAAAGAAAGGATGATGCTGGGACCAGAGCTGGTTTTAGCCACTTCCCCTGCCAGGACGTAGACACCAGCCCCCAGCGTGCTGCCCACTCCCAAGGCGACAAGGTCCATGGTGGAGAGGCAGCGGCAAAGGCTGGAGCGCTCCGAGCCAGCCGGGACCCGCTTCCTGCGGGAAAGCATCCTCAGAGCAGAGAGCAGCCACTCCCAGCATGGTACCTACAGAACAGGAGGGCAGCAGGCATGAGGAGGATGCTGCCCTGAGTATATGACCCAAACCATGAACATTTTCCTTGCAGCTCCCACCATCCATGCGGTGCTTCCTGGCCTCGCTGGGTGCTGCTTGTTTTCTGACTCTGCCAGAAAATCAGCCCATTTTTGAGCAAGATTGGGCTAAAGTGGTTGTGTTACTCTTATCCCAGTAAGAAGTAGATAAATGCATCATTAGGGTTTGCTGGGCTCTGATTTGTGCTATAGTGCAAGGGGACAAGGACACATCCCTTTCCCCTGCCAGCTCAGCAAGTCCTATTGCTCCAGCAGTATCCCTACACAGGGATACACAACCAGCATTGTCCCAGCTTTGACACTGACACTATTTGAAATGCAGAAACGGGGCCAGAAGAAGGAGGGATGGAAGATGATCTGCTCCTGGAGCAGCTGTTGGCCTTGACATGCACCAGGAAAGACCCATCTGCTCAGCTGAAGATACCTACACAGCACCAATAACTGTGTCAATGGCACAGCTCAGAGAGACTGGTTTCCCTGGGCCATCAGCCTGTACAGTGATGCTGTGGCTTACTCAAGTCACTGATGGAGATGTCAGCCCAGCAGAAACCCCAAATTGTGCAGTATCTGTGCATCAGGCAAGTGAGGTGCCTGGTACAGCATGCCTGGGATTCCTGTGCCTCCCCCCATCCTTCCCCAGGAGCATCCAGCACTGCAGAAAGGGGGCTGCATGCCTCCACATCCACACGGTGCTGCCAGGACCTCCAGTCACCCTGCAGCAAAGCAAAGTCCATGCTGCAAATCCCATAATCTGCTACTTACAGGGGCAGGGACCCCCTGGAAACCAGCACATCCCAGCAGCACCAAGGATCATACGGCTGTGCAGTCCATGCTGTGAGCCTGGGGGAGGACATGGACCACCCCAGGGCAGTGCCCAGCACCCTGACCCACAGGATGAGATGCTGTAAAACCTTGTGACACAGGGAACCCCAACCTCCAGGACAACTCCTGTGTCTCCTGGGGGCTGGAAAGCTACTGCCCCCACTCCCGACCACCAGTCCCACACAGGGCACCTCACCCTGATGATTTCCCCTTATCCTGCAAGGAAGCTACTTACTCCAGCCATCCTTAGGGCAAACAGCTCCAGCTGCGAGGTGATGGTGAGCACCAGGCAGCCCCAGCTACACTCTCCCCTTAAATCCCTTATGGGAGCACCCTGGCCCTCCCCTCTCTGACCACCATTCCTGGCTGCACAATGGGAAATCTATGCAGAAATATTTTTCCCACAACGCTTTCCAAACCATCCACATGAGCCTGCAATGCTAATGGGCTCAGGGGCATTATTGAGGGGTTTAATAGGGCAAAGCTGCCTCTGCAGATAGAAGGGGGAACTCTTCTCCCTCTGCCCCCATTCCCTCACACCAGGAACCTCATCTCAATCTGCAGAGCAGGTTTTGGAGGCAATCCAGGCAGAGGGGAGCAGGAACACAGGCAGGATGCAGGGGTGCATGCACCTGTACCCAGGCATAGAGGGAACATAGAAGTTGAGCAGGTCCAGGAACTGACTATAGCAAAGCAGAGGAGCACAGGCCCTGCACTTCCCCAGTATTTGGACACCAGTACCCCAGATTCTGCCCACACCCTGTCACAGCCCCATTACACATCACAGCCTTAGATGAAGAAGCACCCAATGACCCAGTGCAGCTCACAGCAGAGCAGAGTGTGACCACCCATCACTGACCCATCTTTGCCTTGCCTTGGGAGCAGGAGCAGGACCAGGGTTACAGTTCTCAATCCAAGTGTCTGCTCCACCCAAACAGTCAAGCTCCAGAGCTTCTATCCTGGCTGAAGGAAGCGATTGTAAGGATGCCACAAAACCTTGATGCTCCTCCATAGTCACCAGGAATCATCCTAACACAATACCTCCCTCCTGAAGCACAGCACACAGGAACTGAGCAGCAGAGGACAAACAGAGATTGAGGTGGGTCTAGAGCTGAGCTTAAATAGAGGCCCAGGGCTGATTGGGTGGGGGCCTCAGGTGAGGCTGATCAGGGCCTATAAGGCATATAAGTGCCCTCAGAGCCCAGCACAGCTCTTCTATAGTGTTGTTCCTAGCAGGAAGAAGATGTGCAGGAAGTGATTGTGTGGCCTGGCTGGTTTTCAGTATCTTAGGAGAAGAAGACTAAGTCTGGACTCTAAGGAGATGCTAAGAGCTGGTGTTTTGGGGTAGGAATGAGCTTTGATTTTATTATAGGTAGTGCTGAAGCTTAGCCTGCTTACACTTTCTAGGGACAAAAATCTCTTGCAGTTCAGCACATTCTCTGGTCTTCAGCTTGCAGTGAGCAGGTGCAGAGGAAGGGGACATCAGCCATGCAGGATCAGAGTAGAGTGCCTATAACATAGTGAATGCTTTAATCATAAGGTTGACCTATTCTGGGTGTGTGGGGCAGCCCCATGTACCTTGTGAGCTGCTGGGTTAGCACCTCTGGGTAGGGGTGCTCAGCACACCATGACACAGCAGGGGCACCAGGAGGAGAGCAGGGCTGTTGTCCTGCGTTGCAGTGCAGGGTGAACAAAGCTGTGCTTGTCACCCACGCTGTCTCATGTGAGAGAGGTCTCCAGACACCAACGCCAGCCCAAGGAAACATTTCCCTGAGGGAACAACAGGGCACGGAGGAGCAGTGGTGCTAGCTGGCAGTGAGGGTCTTCCTCTTTCAGGGTGCATCCAGTACCCTGGGGGGCATATCCCTGCAGCTGACTGCCAGCCATTGAGCATGTCACATCCATCCTTGGGGTCCCTGCTGCCCAGGACAGGCAGGGCTGAGCAGCTCAGCTGCCTTGCAGCCCTAGAAAGATGCTCTAGTCAGTAGGTACCAGCAGGGTTTGGATGGATAAGATGTTGTATGTCAGCAACCTTCAAATTCCCAAGGGCGTCCTTGGTTTTATCTGCTCCTCTGGCACCAGCCAGAGCACAGACATCGCTGCCCATGGGTCCAGGGTCAGGTTCATTATCTCGTCCAGCCCTGCTGCAGCATCTTTGCTGGCTGGGGCAAAGGGTGGTGATAAAGAAGGAGCCGGCTTAACCTGGGTGAGACAGGGATGGGAATGGCCTGAGGGTATTGCAGCAGCGGTACAGTCTGCCAGGAGCATCTCCGACTTAGCCTGCATCCCCACCCGTGCCTGTGCTGCAAGGTCTTTTCACCCCTGTGTCTGCAGCACAGGGGGAAGGTTGGGGGCGATGGATGACAGCAACTGCCCCTCTTCAACTCAGCTTCTGCCCTACGTATGCTCCTTGCAGAGCCCTGGTCAGCACAGGTCCTTGAGGGGCAACATCCTCCTCTTTGCCTTTTGCAGAGGGAGTCAGGGATGGGCTTCCCCCAGCCATAACGGGTGATTTGGTACAAGTGGAGGTGTCTGAAGACAGGGGCGCCCCATAAGTTACCCTGCACCAACAAATCGGGATGGGGGGTGGGGACACACGGAAGGGGTGACATTTCCGCAGCTGAAGCGCGATCACCATTATCCCCTTGCACTGTGCGTATCACCACCACTGGCACGCAGCCCCTGCCCGCACCGGTGGGGCCGAGTGACCCCCTCGACACGCAGAAGGTGCCTTTGCG